CTCCCTTCATCCACCCCACAGCATAGCTCTGGAGAAAGACAACTGGTTTCTCTCATTATAACATTATCCCCATCTGCAAAGGACCATAATAGAATTAGAATCTTAAAAAGTGTTAAATAACACTTCACAAAGTCACATTGGCATTTAAAAGCCACTGCTAATGATATGGTATGTCAGATAGGCTTTTTAAAATTTTTTCATCCCACATCACTCTCCACATCTTCACGTCTGCCAATCCCATGCAAAAAAATTAAATAAAAATTAAAAATAATCATAACACACAGCATATTTACCAAAGTAAACATTCTGATGACTTTCTCACAATCTCACTATCTTCCTAATAAAGGCAAAATTTTCAAAAGTAAACTTTTATTAAACTTTGAAACAGAGTTTACCAGAGTAAACAAACATTTGCCTAACAACTGAAACAAAAAATTGAGACCACTGAAAATTCCATTCATTTATACAGTCACCCCCTAATGCCTTTTAAAAGTAAAGTTGGAGTAGGAATGACTCCAACATCCAGTCCTTCTTTTATGAAATCCTTACCACATTTGGCATTCTTAAAGGTTCTAACCCTTCATCCCATCCCATGTGTGTCTGGTATTTCACCGTAAGCTTCTTTGCTGCAAATATTTTTGCCACATAACTCTTTGGCCACAGCTCAACTTTGCCATAAAAAATAAAATAACTGGTTGTTTTGACATACACAATATAAAAATCATGACAGATGATGATGATTGGTCCCAAGAGTTGGTCTCATATTTTGAAACACACTACATTGGAGGTGAAGGAGGCCAAGGGCCTTGAAGGCATAGCATGAACCCACATTTCCCCTAGAACTTAGGAACATTTATCAATGGACAAATGACAGTATGCCAAAAACATACAATGGTGTAGAAGGCTTTCACAAGCACTCAGGCACAAATATGCATCCTAGTACGTAGGATTTGAAACCTGGTGCCTCTCTTAATGAAGGAAGAAATTTTAGCAAAAAAGAAAAAGTGTGATGCTGAACAAGAGACGAATCAACGAGCAAAAAAAATGTATAAAATACTGTGAACGAAAGACTTGGAAGACAAGTGCTTAAGTACAACCCACAAAAAAATGTCAGTTAATTGCGCAGTATTGCCATGAATCTACACACATTTTAAATGCGTTCAGATATTTTGCATTTCACAATAAAGTCTTTAATTTTGTTATTCTCATGTTTCATTATATCCTTTTTAATGTTCCTCATTTAATTTTTGTTATTTTACCTTTTATGGTAGAATTGCCTTACAGCCAATTCATTATTTGGTAAAAGTTTTTGCAACAAAAATGCTTGAGGCAGATAAGCTTACTTATGGCAAAAAAAACCTAGAACCCACCCCTGTGGTTACTTAACTCACATCCACAGTTGAATTAGACTTCTAAAATGTTTTCCTCCTCACATTCTTGAAAAAGGCTCACATTTTTGGAAAACCTAGAGTCAAAACCACCTTCTAGCAGAGGTTTTGACCTCAGCAGTAGCTTCTGCAGACCAGCATCAGGCTCCCATCTCCCAGCAGGGTTGGAATGCACCAGAGATAGGGGTGGAGACAGTGCCCCAGCCTGCATCCCAGGGCCTGGAGCATAAAAACCAAATTAAGGAAAACATGGTGAAGAAGACTCTTGCATATCCCTACTGCTGGTCAGTTGCTTACAGAATCATACTTCATGACTTAATGAACAGTCAGATGTCTCTTGGTAAAAGGGCCATGTCTGCTCTTAAACAATCCCTGCCATGGACTTTCACAATAAATTATCACTCAGAAGAACTGGAGAATTGGAGCTAGGTTCATCTAATTTATTTTACACAGGATTTGTGATTACCCTTCAATCTTGGAGTACAATAAAAGTATGTATGGTGTGCTTAGTCACATACATGTCATACATGCAGATATATGCATGATGAATTTTTCTTTTTTTTTTAATCATATAATTAGGCTTTCTCCCATCTCTTAATTTAAGAAGTTAAAGCTTATGTTTTAGAAAATTTTCCTTACTATGCTATTCATCACAGCACTATGCTTCTAAAAACTTTGTACTAAATTGTTGAGGCTATTACAAAGAAGTATGGTTCTAGAAGAGTTAAACTGTATTTCAGATTGAAGAAATTGTACTTATAGAGGAATAAACAAAAGACAGAAAGTAATCCAAATGATTGAAAAGTCTGGTTAGATGGGTTTCAACTAATTAAAGTTTCATAATCATATAACTGTGTTTTACTCTCATTTCTTCCAAGTGGTTGCAGGAAAGGGAAACTTTTTGCCGAAAGTTTTTGAGCTTTTGTTTTGTTTTGTTTCTTGTTTTTAAGACTATTTGGAAGTGATACTTAAGTTTTCCTTTAATGTTTTGCTTATACTGGTTTTGTTTAAATATAAGCTTAACCTTCAAACTATAATTGGAAGAAAATTGCTTGAGATACTGTAATTTTGATCCATCAGACCTTTGAGGAAAAGTTCATTTTTAATCGTAGGAATCTCATCTCAAATTAATATGGGCATTTTGCTGATGGCCTGGGTTCTGGTTTTGGAAGGGAGGAGGCTTTCCGTTGAGTGCTAAGAGTTGGTGATTGTAATTCAGAACCAGCTCTCACATCCTTTCTCAGACCGATGGATGGTGGTTGTTATTTCGTAACTTGTTATTCCAGCTGTGGAGAGTTCATTGAGATGTTACAAGTTATTATCTTTCAAGTGTAGGTTTTAAGATTTAATGATGTTTTTCTTCAAAACAGATCATAAGTATTTTTTCCACTGAGATTTAAAAAGAGAGGCATTGTCACTGCCCCAATTTGAAATAACAGATTTTGGCTCTTCTGACTCTGACTTTTAAAGTAGGTGCAGCAACTAAAATTAGTCTGAAATTGTGAAAATTCGGTAGCTTTACCCAAAAGAAAAAGGTAACTTTTGTGATGACACATCTGAATCACAAGTATCCAGGTACATTTCTACTGAAAAATATAATAGAACAGAGAAAGACTTTGTATCAATCATCTTCCTGCTTGGTAACTACTCTAAAACAAGTGTATGATAATAGGTAACATGACTACAAAGAGGTTTATAAAAATTATTTTAGAATCTCAGTTATAGTTAGTTGACCTTCCCTTGTCCTTCACTAATATTCGACCATATGACAAATAGCTTCAGTAATGACCTCGACTATGTCTGGGACTGTGCTTGGCATTAAGGTATATGATGTAGAAGATGAGGGTCTGATCCTGCCCTGAAGGAGCTAATAAGCTAGTGGGGGACATGCTCTCCTAATTAGCTAACTGCAACACTTAGGTATCACAGCTTCCATCTTAGTAATAAAAACATGACATATAAGCAACAAGTTGTGCATTGCCGTTTTAAAGCACATAGATGAAGTTGCTGATTCGATTTTCCAGCAAGGATTAAAATTATTCAATTTCAGACTTTCACTTATGTCCATGTTGTAGGCAGGAACTTGCAAGAGGATAGTCAACCGTGTGTACAGTGCTTAGATATGAAATTGAGTTTTGTCTGCCTGAAGTTTACTAAGGTGGAGATCAGACTTTGCAAGCTTGGCTTGTTAGAACCATGCCAAAAGCAGCAGAGAGAGTTGGCCTAGATCAGAAAGGAACATAGGACCAGGACCAAAATTAGTTCATTTTTAAGGTTTTTATTAACATATGTCAAGCAACAAACTCCGTTGATTATATCCTACTTGTGTCATAGTCTGGTTTCACCACACCTAGCCCTGCCAGTGGCCTCAAAATAAAAGGCTCTCAAAGGCCAGACAGGATAATGTACCAGGGACATTTTTTTTTTTTTTTTTTTTTTTTTTTTCGGTACGCAGGCCTCACTGTTGTGGCCTCTCCCGTTGCAGAGCACAGTCTCCGGATGCGCAGGCTCAGCAGCCATGGCCCACGGGCCCAGCCGCCCCGCGGCATGTGGGATCCTCCCGGACCAGGGCACAAACCGATGTCCCCTGCATTGGCAGGCAGACTCCCAACCACTGCGCCACCAGGGAAGCCCCCAGGGACATATTATTTAATGTACATTAGGCATGAGGTGCTGTCCTAGGCTCCCAGAGCCCAGTCATAACCTGGATTGTTTTCTCCCCATGATACATGAGAGCCTTTCTATGGGGAATATAAGGAGAAATTCTAAGTACCTCTGGATGGAATTTTTCACCAATGCCACTGGAATATAAAGTTCTAAAATAACAGGGACTTGGTTTTATTTACTACTCTATCCCTAGCACCTTAAACAGTGCCTGGAACATATGAATAAATATGTATAGAATGATTGGATGACTGATTACCACATTATGAATCTCACAAATATCTTCATGCATTTCTTTTAACTAGTGAAATAAAAAGGATTTAGGATGGTTTGCCAGACCCTGCCATGTTATACTAATTTGCTAAAATGTACACACACAGGAGGTTTCATCACAAACAGGTTGTCCATTATCTTTACCGCTATAGTCCAGAATCCAATTTCCCTCTGGCTTTTGTTAGAAAAATATCAAAGCATGCGTTTCTATGTGTGCACATCATTGAAGGGCTGGCACAGAGCTCTGTGTATTCCAAAGAAGGGACAACTTAACTGTACTTTCCAATAACGTGTCTTCTTTGTAATTTCTCTAATATATAATTAGCATGAGAATAACAATTTAAAATATTTATTTTTCCCTCTATATAAGGATTTTCTACGAAATATTCCAGGAAGTACTTTTTCGTCAGATCTCTATGATCATTGGGCCTGTGTAATGGATCAAGGAAATGATGAAGAGAAAATAAATGCAGTTCAAAGGTAATTATTCTAATTTGGTCATTTCTCAAAAATACTTTTTAAAAAACATATTTTATAAGTTTGTCTATTAATGTAATATGACTATCAAAGTCAAATCCATGAGGACCAGTTTAAAAATAGATTTATGCTAGCTACTGTCATTGTTATTGTTTTTTTCCCCTAACCTTATTAACATGGAATACTCTACCATTGTACACCTTCTGTATATCTGAATCTGATAGGAGTTGAAACCCATTAGACCAATAGCTAACACAGTAGACCCAATCTACAATTTATGATCTTAGTTTTGGTAAATATTTAACTAACCAGACAATTCCTTATATACTTCACTTAGCAACTGAATTCACATAGAGAAAATTCCTTCCCCTCAAGGAACTAAGTCTAGTCAAATAGAATAGATGAAACAAAGAATAACAGTGCAGTATAATCAGTGAAAGAGATATATGGAGAAGGGTATGTGGGAATACTACAGAGAGAAAAGTGTATTGTCTGTATTCATGCAAAGAATGCATTTTCTGTACTCATGCAAAGGTAAGTTGCTGGCAGGACTCACCATCCTGATTCCTGAATATTTCCTGCATTATAAGAGAAGCAATACTTCCAGCTCTCTGAAAACCCAAGAATGCCAGTATCATTTATTTGCCTATGCTTGTTTAGTACAGGTTTTTCTTGAGCAACTTTCAAATACAAATTATTATCTACACACTGCTATTGATAGACACCTTTTATCAGTAGAAGAAAATAGTATAACTGTTGAAGACACCAGAATCAAAGCCATGTAACAAAATTCTATCTCTGCATACATTAAGGTTTGGTGGAAACCATTCAGAGGTAGTGAACATCAGATTCTGTATTTTGTTGCTCATTGTCTAAAACTTTATATTCTACAAACTGTTAAATGCGCGATTTTTTTTTTAAGAGGGTAGACGTATGGCTTTCATACAAATACAAAATTAACACGTGAAAGATTTTATTTAAAACATTAATTAATGAGAGAACTAGTAAGATATTACTGCCAGTTCAAAGGAGATTTCAAGCTATCAATACCACAACTTACATAGTTAACTCAGAAATGCTGAAATGAATTTACAAGTAGATGCGAAACTGACTTTTACTACTGGGGCACGGGGGTGTATGTACAAATAAACCATTTATCTCTCCACCAGACAGAATTTTCCAGTCTATAGACAAGTGTTAAGTGCACTGCTGTCAGTAATCTACAGTTTTCAGAGTTGTAAAATAACTCAAAGGTTTAGGGCCCCCATAGAATCAGATACCCTAGAGCAGGGGTCCCCAACCCCTGGGCCATGGGCCAGTACCAGTCTGCTGCCTGTGAAGAACCGGGCCGCACAGCAGGAGGTAAGTGCGTGGCGGGTAAGCGAGCGAAGCTTCATCTACTTCTCCCCATTGCGCCCCATCGTTCACATTACCGCCTGAACCATTCCCCCAACCCCACTGTCCATGAAAAAATTGTCGTCCATGAAAAAATTGTTGTCCATGAAACCAGTCCCCAGTGCCAAAAAGGTTGGGGACCACTGCCCTAGAGTATGATAGTGCCTCACTTTCCATTGAATACATTCAGTAATCTTTTGGTCCATTTCAGTATCTTTCATAATTTGTCCCTACAAAACTGTACTCATTGTCAGTCCATAGTGCTGAAAAAACACCTCTCTGCTGTTTATGCAACAGGAGTCAGATTACCCAATGTAACCCCAGGTTACAGATTCTTGCTGGAAAAAAGCAACAAGCATGACTATCAACATATGTTTTCTGTATGGTAGTAAATTCATTTTTAGTGAATGATCATTTAAAATTCCTTATCAATTACAAAATAGGAACAGTAGGAAAAATACTATCGTAAGCTTGACTTGTGTGTGAAAGTAACACCAGTGAGATAAAGAGATGTGGGACAAAACTGATCTCGGAAGCTGTGGGAGCAGAGCATAAGCTCTCAGAATGGACCTGGGAGTCTTCGTAGCTGAAGTTTGGGTTTTTACCAAGAGACAGAATCCTTGTGTTGCCACTTGGAAGTAAAGGAGCATATTAAGTATAACTGTTTAATTTCATCAGAAAGTTTTTTGGGGTATTGGTTGAGAATATTCTGGAATGTTACAGGATTTGCATAAGACACATTGTACCAGTTTCAGGTAAATATTTCAGGCAGCATTTTTTTATGAACCATTTTTCTGCATTCTTTCACATTTTCATTGGATTGTGAAGGCAGTGTACAAAATAAATAAATAAATCTCCAGTGCTCACTTTCTCTCCTATGTACAGGCAGTCCTCACTTTGCATGTACCATGTTAACACACTTTCCTGTACATCTCAACTGTGAAAAGCAAGGGCTGCCTGGCTATACAAGTTTTCTATGAAATGTTTGCTTAAAGAGTGCATTTTTCTGTCTTTAGGCTATTAGACCAGCTTCCAAGAGCCAATGTTATTCTCCTAAGGTATCTTTTTGGGGTATTATACAACATTGAGCAACATTCCTCATCCAATCAGATGACTGCATTTAATTTAGCAGTGTGCATTGCTCCAAGCATTCTTTGGCCTCCTACTTCCTCCAGCCCAGAACTAGAAAACGAATTTACAAAAAAGGTAATGAAGTTTTTCATTTTTATGCTGTGAGGGACCAAGTCCCCATTTTGAACCTAACATTCAGGGTATTAATTCTGAAAGATATTTTCTTAAATAACTTCAGTACATACCCTTATGAATTTGAGTTCATTGAGTGTTTTATCCTATCCTGGTAGACTGTAGAAAGGTGATTTCTTGAGCAAAAAAAGTGATAGCAGTTGGATTACTTCCCTTTTCCCTTTCAGGAGGAAAACCAACTATGACTGACTGACTTAAACCATAGAGTGATAAAAAAGCAGTTGATATGATTTTAAAAAGAAATAAGGACTTTGGAATTTGACAGGTCAGGGTTGGATTCTCAGCCCTACCACTTGCCAGATGTACAATATTGGGCAAAATTAGTTACATTGATCCACAGTTTCCTCATCTAAAAAATGGAGGTGTTGATAATATCGACATAGTTCATACAGTAGTTACTTGAAATGACACTCGTG